TCCCATCGCTGCCTCTCCTTGTGTTTCAGCTAGAGGGCTGAAATACAAGTTACAAAAGCGCACCGTTTAAGTTGTTGGTTCCGTGTTCATTATGGCCCATGTGCACGTTAAAGAACGCAGTACACTATTCGGAAAAGAGGATGGGATTGTCTCGCGATATACTGCCCAATCACCTCCAGTAGGACCCCACTTGAAATAAGTCTTCTGCCAGACTTTCGTGGGCTATCCTTGGTGTTTACACCGAATAAATCAAATCCAAAAAAAATAAAAAAATCCAAAAAAACATTCCTACATTCTTTAAATTTGTGGAAGGTTTCCGTGGCAAAGTATTAATAACAAAATCATTCTTTAGCATATAACTTTAAATGCCTGCTAATGGATTTACAGATTATTGTAGTAAATCTTCATTAGGTCTGAAAACCTATTTGTTGATACTTTTAAATAGTGACTTGGATTTACCATTAATAAATCTTCCAATTTCTTTCATTTCCTTATTAACCAGCATCCCTTGATGACAAAGACCTGCTGTTCATTTGTGAAGGTCTGCCCTCTGATTGGAGGAGATTAGGAGTGCGACTTGGACTTGAATGGAACAAAATTAATGTCATAGCAGACAACAACACACCGAAAGATGGCGTCATGGAAACCCTGGTGTCTTGGAGAGATTGTCAATCAACAAACCAAACGCCAATCATGCTCAACGCGTTGAGAGAACAGGGACTTGTACAAGTTGCGGAACGATTGTGTGAAAGGCGTTGCTGCAAATCAACCTAAACTTTCAACACAACATAGACTAGTAGGAGGTAGGTGAATATCAATTTGATACAAAATATTAAACATTATTTTATTATTATTTACATAACACAACTGCAAATTTCCTGAAGAATGGTGGATGAATTTCCCGGAGCAAAATTTCATTAATGTTCGGTTCAAGATCTTGTCGTCTATTGATGAAATCGTGTGATCAACAGCTAAAAGTACCCCACCACCCTGACGATTAATTCTTTGCCTACAGTGTATGGTGTAACTGTCATGTAACATTTCAATATCTGCTACATCCGAATTAAGCCAAGTCTCGGTAACAGCAATCAGATGTGGTTTTAAGAGCGAGTCAAACATTTGAATTGAGCAAGCTTGTTTTTTTCAGCATTAACAGACTTGAGAGGTTCAATGCATTTAAAAGTACTGTGCTTAGGTTTCATCTTTTTAGGGGATTATATGCTATCTTTCAAAAAAGCCATTATTTTTTTATTTACTTTTAACATGTATCCAAGATATTTTATTATTTATTTTTACCCAAAGGAGAGGTGGGTATGGGAATATTATGCGTTATGTGTGTGCGTGTGTGTGTTTGATGTGGTGTGTGTGTCCTCTTCCGGGTGCATAACTCAAAAGCTAGTGGATCAATTTACATCAACTTTTCCACATGGACAATATTAGATAAGACTTTTTTTTTTATACATTGTTTCGCAAACTTCTTTTTTTTTCGTCACAGGAGGGCGGGTAAAAATAAAATTTTGTCTTCTTTATTTAGCAAGTAGTTTTGCAAAAAACATCTAAACGGAGAAGAAAATAGAAATAAAATTATTATTGGTAAATGTAAACAGTGTAGTAATGTGATGATTTTTGAAATTTATATAGTCAGGAAGAAATGTACATACATATTTTATATTGCATAACCATGCAAGGAAAGAAGCGGTCCGACTGCTGTGCAAATTAAATGCCATTATGTTTCAGTATAGATATGGCGTAATTTTGGTTTAATTTTTGTTTTAATCAGGGTACATGCAAGATGCTGATCTATTATTTATATCTGAGATGATGGGTAATGGTTGGAAAGCTATTGCCAAGAATCTTGGAATAAATGAAACGGAAATTGATGATGTAGATACAAAGTTTCAGAGACAGATTATGGACGCTGCTTTAGAAATGCTTGTCCGATGGAGGAACAGACAAGGAAGAAATATAAATCAACTCAAAATATTGAAGGCAGCATTGATGAAAAAAAATAAAAAGATCGCAAAGAAATTAGACGCATACTACCAACATGCATAAAGAACTTGAAAGAACTTGAATCAATGAATTAGTGATACATGTACTGTACCTATCAGGTATGGACTAAACAGAGATTGTGGCATTAACGAAATAATATTGTGAAAATATTTGAGAAAAATTTACCAAATACCAGATATATCATTACTATTGCGTACATTAACAATAGTCTGCATGGCCCATTTGATGTCATGTTGTGTTGACACAACAATGCAGTTTATTGTTTTATGAATTGCTATCAAAACGAACAAACAATTGCTATCAAAACGAACAAACAATTTTTAATACGATATCAGGCTACACCGAAAAGCAGAAAAAGGCTAAGCTCACTGAGAAAAATAAAGTTGAAATAAATGTGCAGGGCTTTGAAGAAGCAAGGACTCAGAAAACTTGCTAACAAGGACTTCAGCTCAGAGTTATCAGAAGATCAACCATCCAGTTTAAAAGCAGTTAGAGTACTTGCCAGTGGACGATTACATCAAGTGCACCAGTAATGCAAAGGTTGGTAATATGATATGATGTGTTAAATGTAAAGTAGCAGAATAACCCATAACTTGCAATGTCATTGTGCTGAAGTGCATATGGGCGTTATTTGTGACTGTTTACCATCGTAGATTGGTAGTAGGTTCATGTTTTCATCATTCCACAAAGGCAAGGGATGAAATAAAGCATAGCATCGGGGTAACCCCATACTCTTCTAAAAAATGCAGTGTTTCTTTAAAGTGAACACAAGCCAATACAGTGGACCTCTGGTTTTCATTCCTTATTGAGAAAACTTGGTGCTACCAACTGAACCCTGGGCAAGGAGTGACCCATCCAGCACCAATATTAAGGCTGTAGTTAGCGACACCCCTGATTTACCACTCTGTCACTCAACTTGTCCATTATTATTTAAATATATTTTTTGAATGAAATTTTTAGAATGTTTCATGTTCACAACAGATCGATACTGTATTACGATACATCCTCAGTATCGCTTTCAAATGTTTCCGTCATTTGTTTGCCGTTTATATATTTGCTGTTTCAAAATATTCCCAATAAAATGGTGTATAGACAGGACACATTTTACCAACCTTTGTATTGGCCGAACTGTGAAGTCCAC